ATAATAATAATAATAATAATAATAATAATAATAATAATAATAATAATAATAATAATAATAATAATAATAATATTAATAATAATAATATTAATAATAATAATATTAATAATAATAATATTAATAATAATAATAATAATAATAATAATAATAATAATAATAATAATAATAATAATAATAATAATAATAATAATAATAATAATAATAATAATAATAATAATAATAATAATAATAATAATAATAATAATAATAATAATAATAATAATAATAATAATAATAATAATAATAATAATAATAATAATAATAATAATAATAATAATAATAATAATAATAATAATAATAATAATAATAATAATAATAATAATAATAATAATAATAATAATAATAATAATAATAATAATAATAATAATAATAATAATAATAATAATAATAATAATAATAATAATAATAATAATAATAATAATAATAATAATAATAATAATAATAATAATAATAATAATAATAATAATAATAATAATAATAATAATAATAATAATAATAATAATAATAATAATAATAATAATAATAATAATAATAATAATAATAATAATAATAATAATAATAATAATAATAATAATAATAATAATAATAATAATAATAATAATAATAATAATAATAATAATAATAATAATAATAATAATAATAATAATAATAATAATAATAATAATAATAATAATAATAATAATAATAATAATAATTAATAATAATAATAATTAATAATAATAATAATAATAATAATAACAATAACAATAATAATAATAATAATAATAATAATAATAATAATAATAATAATAATAATAATAATAATAATAATAATAATAATAATAATAATAATAATAATAATAATAATAATAATAATAATAATAATAATAATAATAATAATAATAATAATAATAATAATAATAATAATAATAATAATAATAATAATAATAATAATAATAATAATAATAATAATAATAATAATAATAATAATAATATAATAATAATAATAATAATAATAATAATAATAATAATAATAATAATAATAATAATAATAATAATAATCATAATCATAATAATAATCATAATAATAATAATAATAATAATAATAATAATAATAATAATAATAATAATAATAATAATAATAATAATAATAATAATAATAATAATAATAATAATAATAATAATAATAATAATAATAATAATAATAATAATAATAATAATAATAATAATAATAATAATAATAATAATAATAATAATAATAATAATAATAATAATAATAATAATAATAATAATAATAATAATAATAATAATAATAATAATAATAATAATAATAATAATAATAATAATAATAATAATAATAATAATAATAATAATAATAATAATAATAATAATAATAATAATAATAATAATAATAATAATAATAATAATAATAATAATAATAATAATAATAATAATAATAATAATAATAATAATAATAATAATAATAATAATAATAATAATAATAATAATAATAATAATAATAATAATAATAATAATAATAATAATAATAATAATAATAATAATAATAATAATAATAATAATAATAATAATAATAATAATAATAATAATAATAATAATAATAATAATAATAATAATAATAATAATAATAATAATAATAATAATAATAATAATAATAATAATAATAATAATAATAATAATAATAATAATAATAATAATAATAATAATAATAATAATAATAATAATAATAATAATAATAATAATAATAATAATAATAATAATAATAATAATAATAATAATAATAATAATAATAATAATAATAATAATAATAATAATAATAATAATAATAATAATAATAATAATAATAATAATAATAATAATAATAATAATAATAATAATAATAATAATAATAATAATAATAATAATAATAATAATAATAATAATAATAATAATAATAATAATAATAATAATAATAATAATAATAATAATAATAATAATAATAATAATAATAATAATAATAATAATAATAATAATAATAATAATAATAATAATAATAATAATAATAATAATAATAATAATAATAATAATAATAATAATAATAATAATAATAATAATAATAATAATAATAATAATAATAATAATAATAATAATAATAATAATAATAATAATAATAATAATAATAATAATAATAATAATAATAATAATAATAATAATAATAATAATAATAATAATAATAATAATAATAATAATAATAATAATAATAATAATAATAATAATAATAATAATAATAATAATAATAATAATAATAATAATAATAATAATAATAATAATAATAATAATAATAATAATAATAATAATAATAATAATAATAATAATAATAATAATAATAATAATAATAATAATAAATAATAATAATAATAATAATAATAATAATAATAATAATAATAATAATAATAATAATAATAAATAATAATAATAATAATAATAATAATAATAATAATAATAATAATAATAATAATAATAATAATAATAATAATAATAATAATAATAATAATAATAATAATAATAATAATAATAATAATAATAATAATAATAATAATAATAATAATAATAATAATAATAAATAATAATAATAATAATAATAATAATAATAATAATAATAATAATAATAATAATAATAATAATAATAATAATAAATAATAATAATAAATAATAATAATAATAATAATAATAATAATAATAATAATAATAATAATAATAATAATAATAATAATAATAATAATAATAATAATAATAATAATAATAATAATAATAATAATAATAATAATAATAATAATAATAATAATAATAATAATAATAATAATAATAATAATAATAATAATAATAATAATAATAATAATAATAATAATAATAATAATAATAATAATAATAATAATAATAATAATAATAATAATAATAATAATAATAATAATAATAATAATAATAATAATAATAATAATAATAATAATAATAATAATAATAATAATAATAATAATAATAATAATAATAATAATAATAATAATAATAATAATAATAATAATAATAATAATAATAATAATAATAATAATAATAATAATAATAATAATAATAATAATAATAATAATAATAATAATAATAATAATAATAATAATAATAATAATAATAATAATAATAATAATAATAATAATAATAATAATAATAATAATAATAATAATATTAATAATATTAATAATAATAATAATAATATTAATAATAATAATAATAATAATAATAATAATAATAATAATAATAATAATAATAATAATAATAATAATAATAATAATAATAATAATAATATTAATAATAATAATAATAATAACAACGACATATAATTATAATTTTCGTCGTTACCCTGCACAAACTCTGTTTCTGGGGTTAAAATTCACTCGTAAAGGGGGGAATAGGCATAATATTAATATTACACTTAAAATGGCACAGTTTTTAATACACTCATGAACAAATATTAAATATTTTGATCTATACGTACAATTATCGCAAAAACCCTATACGCTACATAGCATTCCGTGGAAAAGGTATAATAATAATAATAATAACGACATATAATTATAATTTCCGTCGTTACCCTGCACAAACTCTGTTTCTGGGGTTAAAATTCACTCGTAAAGGGGGGCATAGGCATAATATTAATATTACACTTAAAATGGCACAGTTTTTAATACACTCATGAACAAATATTAAATACTTTGATCTATACGTACAATTATCGCAAAAACCCTATACGCTACATAGCATTCCGTGGAAAAGGTGTATGACCACGACTTAAGCTTCCCTATGAGCTGTTACCGTCCGGTAGTAAAGATAATACAAAAAATAAAATTAGATTAATCGACTCTTAGTTCGTTGCGGTGGTGACCGGAACTTACTGTATTGAAGCGATCGCTAGCCGTAAGTGAATATTTTTTAACCATAAGTAAAAGTTAACTAATGGTAAGTATATGTGATTTTGTGGTTATTAAAGCAGTTTCAGAAACATTATTCATTTGTCGTAGGCAAAGTGGTGCCCAAGTTAGGTTAACTGTTTATTGGGGTTATTAAAAAAATGTCATTTTAGGAGACTTATTAACTTGTAAAAGAAATACTTTTACTTATGGTAATTGATATATTTTTTGATATAGTTAATAAAATAACTATGGCAATTGTATTTTTTTCAAATGAATAATTTATTTGGCTTTGATTTTTCCGTGCAATAGTTTATAGTACCTGCATATGATAATAAACATTTTAATTAAATATAATTTACTTCATATACAGGTTGTTAATTTAGTATGTGAATATAATGAAAAATGTTTAAATCTGAACACAACCCAAATGTATATTTTTTTGTAGTTTCTAGGGTTTTAGGTGTTTGTAGATCAAATGAAACTCGTATGTGTGTGCGGTAATAGTTTTCGGCACTGATCAGTGCCTTCTTCAGTAGTTTTTTATGCGGTTGATTCAAGTGATAGAATTGACAGGTAAATATTTAAAGTATGATTATGTCACTTGTCGTTTCTTTTTTTTTGGATCTTCTACTAATAAAAACTACTGAAAAAGACACTGATCAGTGCTCAAAAATCTATTCTCACTCACACGAGTTCCATTTGATCTTAAAACACCTAAAAACTCAAGAACTACAAGAAAAGAAACTTTAATAATTGAGGTTTGCGAAATTCCAGCGAAGCGAAATCAGTCAGTTAGTATGTACAATAATTAAGTTTTCAAACGACACAAAAATAAAATAAATCGTTGATTGAAGCCACGTTTCTAACTACATGAAAAGTTCATATTTTTATTTTTGTTACTGTTCTTTCAAATATGACAACGACGTTTTTGACACAATACAAATTTCGTTTATAGTATTCACATTCAAAATAGTGTGATGCATTACTAACGATTGTTTTTATTACTTATAAATATTTCTTTTTCAGATGCTCACGCAAAAATAATCGGAGGTGATACGAAGTACATTCCGAAAAACAAAGAAATGCCACTTCGCTTAAGCTGCGTACTTATACACTCCATCGAACCACCAAAATACATTTTTTGGTATCGTGGAGATAGGATGATAAACTATGACCTTGAGGACGGAGCCACCGTTCGTGAAGGACCCCAGGGGAGTGAACTGATCTTTCCGAAGCCGAACGAAATGCACGTGGGAAATTATTCGTGCGTGCCATCGAACGCTCAGTTAGATAGTGTCATGGTGAAATACGGAAGTAAGGATAAGTTAGTCAAAGTAATAAAAAAGGAGACAAATTGTTCTGAATGTCTTGACAATACAAGCAAATTGTTTTGTTTGAATAGGTTTTAAAAGGTCTGATAAAGAAAAAGCACGTTAGACCATGAAGGATTTGTTAACAATGCTTGAACTATTTAGGACATATTACGCAATAAGAGTTCAAATACGTATGCCATGCACGGGAAGATTTATTAAATATAGAGAAATTTTGATTTCCTTAGATTACTTTATGAGATCGATTGGCATATCATTACTTATACTGTTGAAACATTTAAAAGCCGAGAAACTAAACATTTTTATCTCTATTTGACAATAGGGGAAGAAGGGGTAAAGTGAAAAAGCCTAACTTTTAAGTTGAATATATAAAAACCAATTATGCAAGATTTAGAAAAGTTTTATTTATAAATAAATATTACAAAAAAAATCTTTTTCTAAATAAATTTTCCGAGGAGAGTCTTATTTTGACGTTGCTTCGTATGGTAGAATAAAGTTAAATGGGAAGAAGGGTAAAGTGGAATGGTGAAGGAGATAATAGGATATATACTTGACTAAAAAAAAACTCATTTAAATTGGATTGTAAAAAACCAAATGTATTGAGACAAATACAACAATATTTAACAAGCATTACAAAAGCTTTTTCCAATTAAAAAATTAACAAAATATAATTGGGAGAATTTAATTATCCCACGACGAAAAATTGAAAATTTGTCAGAACGGATAAAATCGTACTTATTAACATGATATTATCATCAAATAGATCTGGAAACACAAATGAGTCATATTGTTTACCATAGTTTAGCATGTGGGTTATATTATAAGCAACTTCACCATTATTTTTTTTCGTGCATTGCTATTTCATTTTTCCAACAAATTTCTTTATTGCTCCCTGTACCGTGAGATGAACGTGATACAAAAGTTTGAGTGTCCCAGATGTCAACTTTGCGGCTCCGGTTCACTCCAGTGGAGATATGAGTGGGTGATTACTTTGTAATCCGGGAAAAATACTATATTTTTGATGTTGGGTTGGATGCCAGGTAGATCTTTTATATTGAGCTTTTTTAAATCCAGAAAAGTCCTTCTTGTAAATCTACCAAATAAATAGGAAATAAAAAGACAACCTTAACTCAGATCTTGTTTATTTAGAAACTGAAAAACACTTCATCTATCCCCTTACCTTGAGTTATTGGCCCTCACAATCCCTGTATTAATAATGTAATTCGTATCAAAATTTGGGTTATTGCAGGCCTATACACTTCCTACTTATATTTTATGTATAGGCCTGCAGTAACCCCAAAATTCTTAAACAATATATGTAATGCCTCAGCAGTTACAGAAACTAAACAGGTTGGTTCAATGTACCCCAGTAAAATTATTAGTTAATACCTCACGGTCATTAGCGTTGGATCCAAGGCGAAAGGCGTGTCAGGCGCAATCAAAAGAAAAGTTAATCATACCTAGCCATAAAAATCTTTTAGTTTCTGTATAAACAGATTTTAATACCCAGAGACTTTATTTCTAAAATATTACTATTAAAAACATCAATTTTATTAAACATCATCTTAAGGTAAATTACCCAATCTCCTTATTAAACTATACTAAAATTTAATTAACGTTATGGGCCCTTAATAGCACATGAGCTATCATATCAATATCAATTTAATATACATATACATCTACGTATCAGTCGTATGCTAAATGTCCTAAAAACATACCCTAAAGTCACGATACACATACACCGGTATGCTACTATTTCGGACCAAATTTCGCACTTTCCGCGCATGACGTAAGTAGGCATGAAGTAAACTTTGACGTTTAAATGAAAATAATTTTTTAATACAGTTTATACAGATATAATGAGACGAAATATTGATTCGAGTGTACGTTTGGAAATTTGAATAAGAATTAAAAGTATTTTTCTTGTGTGGTGTTCATTTTTGAAGAGATTAGTTTGAAGTTTCTATTTAGTATTGCCCGTTTTAGATGTTTTTAAAGAGTTTAAAGTAAAGTGTTGTGTGTTCTTCAGAAATGTTATTGGGACAATTAAAGAACTATAAAATGTCTAATTGTGCCGTGGCTACATGTAAAAACTACAGCTAAATTACAAAGGGAATGGACATAAAATATTTTAGATTTCCCAAGAATTATGATCTAGCCAAGCAATGGATTGTAGCATGTCGCCGAGAAGGGACAATAAACTTAAAAAATGGTAAGTGTAGAAGCTTTTATTTGAATAATAAAAAAATTTGATTCATATTTATTAATATTCAATGTCAATGGTTTTGTAAAAGGCTGATTCGGTTGCATAAACAGACTAGATGTTTTTTGGCAGCTCGTATTTGCTCTATACACTTTGAAGTCTCCTGTTTTGAAGTGTAGCTGCAACAGAGATTGTTGGGCAAGCCCATACGTAGCCGACATTTGAAACTTGATGCTGTGCCCACACTTGGCATTCCCAAATTTCCCGCAGCAATCCAGAAAAGGCAATGTAAAGAACGTGATATGCGATCAGCCAAAAGAAGACAGCAGGTCGAAGCAACAGAAATGTTAAAAGCAATTGAAGCTGCTAGTGTTTCTCAACAAGATCTTACCTATACAGATACTTCTCCCGAAGAGAACATGGATCATGACATCACTATGCGGATGATGGATATGGAAAACCAAGTTCAATCCGAGTCAATAGATGAGTGCGTATAATTTTATTTATTAATATTTGTAAAAAATATCATTGTTAACACGGAAATAATAATTATACCTGTTTATTTTAGAAAAAAAAATGAAAAGGAAATCATGAAACTGAGGAACCAAATAAAAATGTTGGAAGAAGTTAATAAACAACTAAGGACGGAATTGAAAAAGGCCGAATCGAATATTGCAAGTTATAAAGATATTTTAGCAAGAGTGTTTACACCAGGCCAAATAAAAAAATTAAAGAACCAAGGTAGCCGGATGGGAATTCGATGGTCCCCGGAGGATATTGCTTTTGCTATATCACTACGCAGTGTTAGTCCTAAAGCATATAGATTTTTAAGAAGTAATAATTATCCTTTACCAGCATTATCGACACTGAGGAACTGGGTTGGCAATATTGATATAAATCAAGGAATTCTGAAAACGGTTATATCATTATTACAGAAAAAAGCCTTGGATTTAAGGCCTGTTAACCGAATATGCGTACTCACGTTTGATGAAGTTTATCTTTCGAATAAAATTGAAATAGATAGAAAACAGGAGCAGGCCAGGTCATGATACGAGATCTATTTGCACAATGGAAACAGCCAGTTTACTACCAGTTTGATCAACCGATGATTAAATAAATTCTCTATGGAATACTTTCAGAATTGTACCAAGCAAAGTTTACTGTAGTTGCGATTACCAGTGATATGGGTACAGAAAATACAGCTTTGTGGAAATCATTATCAATTGGGTATGACAAAAGTTGCTTTTTTGCGCATCCTTCTAATAATACACTGAAAGTTTTTGTGTATGCAGATGTTCCGCATTTAATAAAGCTTGCTCGAAATCATTTGATTGATCATGGTTTTGAAGTGGAAGGTGATATAATAAATAGAGATTACTTCGAAGCTTTATTAAGTGTTTCTACATCAGAATTAACATTGGCACATAAATTGACGCAACAACACATTAATATCAAAGGATCTATGCGGCAAAGAGTTCATCCTGCAGTTCAAGTTTTCTCAAACTCCGTGGCAAAGGCAATAAGGTATGCAGGAGAGAATGACCTTATGCCTAAAAACAGTAAATGGGAGAGAGCTTCAGAAATTGTTCAGTTATTTAATGACTGGTTTGACTTAATGAACTCACGGTCTAAATTTTGTAGTAATTGTCCAGGATGAAATGCCTTTGGCATTGATATTTATAATCAAGAATATCTGTTGAATAAAATGTCAGAAGCTATTAGTGTAATGAAAATAGGTAAGCATAAGGGCTTAATTCCATTTCAAAAAGGTATCTTACTAACAAACAAGTCATTAATAGGAATGTTCAATTACTTAAAAAATATATATGATGTGGAATATATATTAACGTCCCGCTTAAATCAAGATAAGATATCCTTGAAAGTTTTTTTGCATATATTCGAGGCATGGGGGTGCAAACGATCATCCAACTCCTTTAGATTTTAAATATAGATTAAGATGGTATATTGTGGGCAAACATTCAGCCGCCATTTTCACAGAGAAAACGAATACTTACGAAACTGAAGAAACCTGTCTTCTTGATGTGCTAAGTGAAACAAGTGATATATCACACAAAGAAGTAGCGCAGATTCTCGATGCAGAGTTTTACGTAATGAATGGAACCTCTATATTTAAGAACAAACATATTTTTCAAGAATTGGCTCAAAAAACAGTGTCGAAAATAGAAAACAATTTAGTTCCATACGAAGTAATTCTCTGCCTTAGTAGAACTCGAACGTATATTAGGTTACGAGACATGAATAGAAAAATAAGTTTTATGAACTGAAAAAAAAAAACTAGACAGGAAAATGTCGAAATTTACAAATTTCAAAAAGTAAATAATAAGATTGTTCATACAAAAAGTAACGTAATACGTTAATATAAATAATATTTTAATTTTTGATAGGTTTAAAAAAAAAGTTTTAAACAAAAGTTTTATGAAAGTTAACAAAAAACGTCCATCAGAAATATACTGGTTGCACCATTAGTTTAAAATAATGCACATATATGTTTTTTAAATTGTACACCCTGAATATGTTTTGAGTATTTCAAACTCTAAAAAATTCAAAAATAACCGTTAAAACTGTATAATGTTAATTTTATTAGTTCAAAAGTTATATTCATTTATAAAGGGTATATTACAGAAACATTTTTATTACCAAAATAATCAACCAAACAAATATTTTATTAATTTTATTTAATTAAATGCTTTTAGTGTCTTCCTTGTTCTAATAATTTGGCAGTATCCAATACTGTTGTAAAATATTAGCCAGTTACGTTACTTTCTGCACACACTGTATGTATGTTTACTGTGCTCCACTGTACAGGGTATCTAATGTGATAGAAAGATGTACACCTTGGAATAAAATCGACCTGTATTTGCATTTTTTTGGAAAAATCTCCTCCAAAATTATCTGAGATAAATCCGTCAAAAGACCTTACTGGTTTTACTCGAATATTGTTCGTTCCAATTGTGTATTATTGTTTGGCGTTCTTTTTTATAGATTTTTGTAAGATGCCTGCATTTCTTTAAAATAAAGTGTCTTTGCTCATTGTGTCTTATCACAAAAGGTCTTGTTTTAATCGCAATAAATAAACTGAATATTCATAAAATGTGTGCAATTATACTATTATAATACAATAACTTTTCTACTTTTACTCCATACAATCCACAAACATTATTAATA